TACACAGTGTATTCATTAATTTTCATTTTCATGTAGTAAAGGCTCTATGCCTTCATAAAGGATGTACTTTTCCTTTGTTTAAGGGTATTCGGGCAGTTTATTCTCTGTTATATTCTCAAGTAAACAATACATACAAGTACAGTACAGTATTTTCTGAGGAAACACTCGCACTTATTTTTTTTAACCCCATTCCCGATAACCCGGCATTTTCACAAACTCGGCCACCCTTCGGTCCACATTAGGCCGAGTTTCCGAGGTTCTACTGTATTTTATAAAACAAAAAGACAAGCAAAAATAAAACTAAACTTTTCAATTTTGTTTTCAATACTCACAAAACTGTGAGTGTACTTTCTGGAATACACAAAAAACATGCAAGGAAGCTTACTTCCCCTAGAGTAATGTATATGCCAGACAGCCTAGTGCATAGGACATTGTCTTGATTTTGTTCTATAACTTTTATTAATTTCATTATTTAGTAATTTAACTGTCTACAAACATTTATTTATATCAGGACTTTTATCAAAGAAAACGCCCTAAGTACGTCTTTGTGGACAAGTTAAATTATTACATTTACGTAAAGGACAAAAAGTAACTAATATACTTTAATTTTTATTGATTAAGCAATAAGTTATGATTTGTTACTTATAATATAAGTGTCTGATGCATGTATTTCTTTCTATAAAACCAAACCAAAACCCTTTGAGTACAATTTTCTAATTCACTAGGTAAGACTCACTTAAGACTGCACATAAATTTTAAAGTTGTGAAAAGGAAACTACTGATGTAGAAATAGCAAGCAAGCTACTAAACTTAATGCATAGCACACTTAAAAGTATATGAAACAACAAGCTTTAACTTTATGTCAGTGGCAAATCTTACAACAATAAATATGTCAAGCAGTCTGTGAGGTCAGACAACAGGAGTTAAGAGTTAATCAAATCAATGTATTACATTAAGTTTATTATTGATGCTATTCTGTGATGATAATACATGCTTAACTTAAACATTTTTTTTTAAAAAGGTATTTACATTAATTTATGGGTTATGTATGATGCATAGAAAATTATACGAGAAGTCTATTAATTATCTGTATGATTTAATTTAAATTTTTCAAACTACGTAGTAGTAATCATTAATTCATTCCTAAATATTTTATTTTGTGTGCTAGTGTGCAGTAATTTTTTTTAGAAATTTTAGCCTTGAAAATATTCTTCATCTCTTATTTTCTAGTGAAAAAGTTTCAAGACAATATCTATTATACAAAGAATTGTAATAAATGCAAAGGTAAAAACTTTTCAGATTTTTACAGAATAACGAGTAAGTAGAAAATTGCGATGTGGTGATATAAAATCAAAAGTGGCAAAAAATGTTTAGAAGCGGTGAAATGAGTAGTAAAATTTTTTGAATTTCTACAGGAATCACTGAATTTGGGCTAAAAATTTTAAAACATACTTCTTAGGATTACATTGAACACATATCTATAATAATTTGTATTACTATAAAATAAAACATATAACAACTGTAATTTATAAGTTATTACTGTATATAAGGCAAACAATTTTTGCTTATACATAATCAAATTTTAATTGTAAAATTTAAATAAATACATTTAAAATAAATAACTATGGAGTCAACTAAAATCACTGTTTTACACAATGCATCCAAGTGATACTTTAGTAATATAAAGACTGACAATCTGCAAAAATTTTCATAAACAATATAAAAACATTTTATTGAATAATAAATTTAAATTTATTAAATTAATCAATATTATATAAAAGTGAACAGATACATTATTCTTACTTTTAGAGATGTATTTATTTCAGTATTAGGAGCGGGTATTTTTGCTTCCAAAAGCTTTTGACACAGCATAAAGAAGTTATGTAAATGTTGATCCTATTAAATTAAATAAATGAGAATATATATATATATTAAATTTAACTAATTTCTATTATTTTATTTTAAATAAAAAAATCATGATCCAAATTTATCAATTTATTATTAAATCATGAAATAACATTTTTGTTTTAAAAAGTATAAAAAAAATTGACTTTACTAAACAATTTTAACAACTGAATGAGTATATAAATATATATATATATACAGAGATTTTGCTGATTATTGAAGTCATTTCATTTTTAAAATGATTTATGTATAAACAGTAAAGAGAATCAAAGATGTCAATTCTTTAGAAAACAAGAGATTTATACAATTGAATCACTTAAATATGTTATCTAAAAAAATTCAAACAAACATTGCTAGGGAAAATTTAATAGAGAAATGATACTCTGTAAGTCAAGAATTATCATAAAAATGCATGATTTGCCATACATTATACAATAAAAGAATTTACAACTTTGCACTGGACAAAGTTTCTTGTGATCCATATCAAAGTACTATACTGCAAAAATGTCACATAATTAATAGATTACAAAAAATTCATACAAATACAAAATATTTAAAGTTAAGTACAGTTTTGTTTCTTATGTTGTTTTTATATTTTGTTTAAGGGACTACTGCAGACACTATACAAATCTCACTTAAAATTTTATTGTATATATATATAAACATTTGCATTCATTTTCATATATTCAATTGCATAAAAACATACTGCAATTATCAAATTTCAGTTTAATTCAGTTAAAAAAGAAATGGCTTTTGTGTTTCTGTTTCTCTTTAAAAACATTAAGCGTTTTCAGCTGTGTGACTTATCCTATATATTTATAAAAATAAATAAAATAAACCGTGAACAAATGTGTGTTTATATATTAAAAGACACCTTTCAGATTTTTACTGGCACCAGTCCTTTATTAAAACAATTGTTTTTGGCACTTTTAGGGGCCAGCATCAGGTTTAACAGATACAATTTGAATATTTAAATGTTCAAATTGTATTTCTTTTAATAAAGGACTAGTTCTGATGAAAATGTGAAAGGTGTCTTTTAATGTAGACCGATTCTAGCTTCTTATTAATGTGTGTTTATATCCGGCAGTAAATATTTTTGTAGTTGTTACTATTGTAACTATTAATTATTTATATTTTTCATGTACACAATTAAATTTACAGTAGTTATCATAAAATTGTTACCTTGCAATAAACAGTAGAAATTAACTTCAGATCGACTTTGAAAAGTTCTTTCCCATTTTCGACCCAACGAATTTCAGGTCCACTAAACTGTAAAAGATATCCTTATAGAGATTTCATCCAATATTTAATATTATATTTCAATTAAGTATTATTATTATTATTTTTATTTTTTTTACTAAAAATTTCATTAATCAATTACAAATATATCATACTCCTTTTCCCAAGCCTAATGGTTGAAATGATAAATACCCAGGAGGTAAATGAGATGATACTGGTAATACATGTTCAGATATATTTAACCTAGAAATAAAAAATTTAGTTTAATATTAATAAAATGCAATTTAAATAAAATCTAGTGTCTAATAAATCATCTAGCAACAAAGAAAAATGTAAAGATTTTCAGAAACTAGCCATAAAAATTTAAATATGTTTTTTGAAGTGTGTCTGTCTGACTACTCTATACAGAAATTAAGGGAGAACTATCTAAACAATTCTAAATAAATTAAAAAAAAAATTTTTTTTATGAAATGTCAACAATAATCTAAGCTGAACTTCTCCAGTATAAGAAGATACTAGACATGCTTTATACACTTTTCCAGCAACCAAATTTAAGCAAAACAATGTTTTTGGCCTCCTTGAAAGGCCTTTGTAAAGTTACAGAATAAAATTTAAACAAAAATTATGGAATCTCCTTAAATTTCAAGCAAGCTGAAAATGTTTTTGATTAGATTTAGTTGTTGGACAAGTGTGTAAGGTGTGTGTCTAGGGTCTTCTTATCCTAATGGTGTGGTATAAAAATTGATAAAATGTCATCTCTGGTACCAAAATCAGGAATGTTTATTTTGTTACCAAAACACCATAACAGAACTTGCAAACATCTTTTACTCTACACTATACTGGCTGTTATAAGATATATGATTTTATACCACATGTTCCCTTCATGTAATCCAATGTGCTTTTTTGATTTAAGAAACTACAGTTCTTATTCAGCCTAGTTCTGTCATGTTAATTAACAAACCTCAATGACAAACATTAACTTTTAGTGGCTCACAACAAAGAAATCTTACTTTCCCATGGACAACTATATAATGTTCAAAACATGAGTCCATATAATCTTTTCGTTTATACCTTTAATGAAAAGACACACAAGTGTATACTGAGATATTCACTAACAATGTTAATCATTCCTAATTATGTACGAGCATCTTTTGGGAATCTCTGACTATGCACTGATAAAGAAAACAGAACTATTTAGCTGATTCCTATGTGCCTTTGTTAATTACTAGAAAATCATATTAAAAGTTTTATTATCCTAAGCAAGGCTGATATTACTGCTAGCAATAAACTATAGTTATATATATATATATATATATCTTCTACTAGAATATAAACAGAAAAGAATATTATATCTTTGTGTTTTTGGTTTTTGTATATTAGTATTATGCTACAGAAAACCTCACTTTTATGAGAAAAAAATGTACTCTAAACTCATATTCTAATTTATTTAATTTAAAATATATGCTCTTCACCTCAAATTACTGGCTTGCCCCTATACAACATACTTTTCCTTTAACAACAGAGTTGTGCCAGCTATCTATTAACTGCTTTCAGGGGAAGTTTTGAACTGAAATAATGTAACTTTTGGTTTGTATTGGAAGTTAATATATAGTTAATTGGGGCCTCCAGCCCCTAAGGTTTCCATATCTGGTATAATCTTTTATCTATCTGACATCATTCTTGAGATTAAGGAAGAAAAGACAGACAGGCAAATGGACAACAGTGGGAATTTATAGGTAACAATTTTTTCAAATTGTAGCCCAATAATACCAAAGATAGCCAACGAAAAAATATAGCAAGTCATCAACCATACTAGAAAATTTAGTTGTAAAAATGAGAAGTTATGAAGTGGGACCTATTGTACTTTGTCCGATTTTAAAAAATTAGATATTGTGTGTTATTTTTTACCTATAACAGCTTAACTTTTAATTTTGTTAAATAGAAAAAATAAAGTTTAATAAATTAAGCAAAAATTAAAAAATTTGACAACAATTAGACTGGAATTTGCAAAACTGCAAACTCTAATCTCAACTATTGAGAATTAGACTTTTATCCATTAATATTAAAAGAGCACGAAACCTTTTTAATAATAAGAATTTTCTTTTACCTGCCCTTTGAAAGTAAAGGCAACCAGGAATAGCCAATTATAGTCTCAATCGGACCTTCTTTCTTCTTTGCAGCTTTTGGTAGATGACAACTAACATGATAAAATGTAAACAACAAATGATGTTTATCTTGAAGATATAGAGGAAGACGAATTTTCACCTTGAAATAAAAAATAAATTTAAAAATTATATATATAATTAATATAAGAGTTTATCATAAACAACATAAGTAATTAATTGATGATAACAATTATTTAAATTGTCAAATATCTAAACCAGATGATCTGCTGAATAATCAGGCTATATATAAGGCTAAGTTAATAATTAGATATGAAGGAATTTATCTAGAGGTAGGCAGTTACTTCATACCTAATTATTTACTTAACCTTATTATAGCCTGATAATTTGCAGATTGTCTGGTTTTAATTAAAGTAATCGAGTTAGTGGAGTTGTTTATATATATTGTCAAATGTTTAATAATGTGTATTTGAAATGTATTCTATGATAATGATTACTTTTACAGTGTATATCTGATAATATTATTGTACTAGCAGATAAGCCTGGAGTTGCTCAGGCAAAAAGTAACAATAGCGAAGATTAAGATTATTACATTATAACCAATCTTATCCGTTTTAACAGAATGCAAGAATTAGATCCTCCTATTTCCATACTTATTAGAAAATTTTTAGATGGGTCTAAAAATATGTTTGATTTCCCACAAAAACGCAAAAAACCGCATCTGCGCCTGTAAATCTTGCACGTTGCTTTTTCTTAACACTTTCATTGCTACTTAACACTTTCCTGCGGGGAAACTGTTAACATATTAATAACAACCTCTCCCCATGAGGGGATTTTGAAAAATCCGTTCTTAGTGTACATTCTCGTGATGTACCCTATTAAAATGCAATCAAAAACACAAAAAATCCGCATCTAAAGTACTCTAATAGAAGATAAGTTCTTCACGGGAAGCCTTAATCCTGTCCCTCTCCCCCATGGGGGAATTTCAAAAAATCCCTTCTTAGTGTACATTCTCTTGACGTACCCTATTAAAATGCAATCAAAAACACAAAAAATCCGCATCTAAAGTACTCTAATAGAAGATAAGTTCTTCACGGGAAGCCTTAATCCTGTCCCTCTCCCCCATGGGGGAATTTCAAAAAATCCCTTCTTAGTGTATGTTCTCATGACATACCCTAACTGTGTACCAAATTTCAACCTTCAACTCCTAACCGTTTGTGCTCTGTGCTTATTATTATTATCATTATCAACCCATCTCGATTATATATATAGATAAGCTATTAATCATTCTTGTTGATAGTTTTCCATTAAAATAAAAAACTATATATTTAAAATTATCATCAATCATAACAACCCATATATACTATGAAATAACCAAGTTGGTTATCAAATATAAAAATAGACTGCTGATTGTAATTAGGTATTTTCTAGGAAAATGAAACTTAGCTCCCTGGCATAGAAAGCTAAAACTGTGTGAAGAAAGGGTTTAAAATTGATCTAACTCTAAAATAAAAAAACTACAGAGAGACCAATATAAACTGACATCAATCAGAAACCTGACTGGCATGTAGCAGATGGCCAGCTTACAATTGGCAATCAGCTCATAGACCTTACACGGCAAACTTCAACCTCAAATATCTTGGTTTGCAGAACAAATTTCTGGCTTATGTTAGGCCATCGGCTTTAATGAGTTTTACACATTTGCGAAAAAAATCATGTTTGGTGATCATGTAGTTACTTTAAACTTCAATGACAGACAAAACACTTTCTGACTTATGCAGAGCTCTATACTCTGCTCAATCATATTGTTATCGGCTATTTAAAATGTTATCAGAATTAATATGTTCCAAAATATTCAACTTAATAATAATTACATTAATAATAATAATTAAAAGATCCTCAAGTTAATACACTTCTCAATTGTTTTAGCTTGTTCTTTTAAAATATCAGAATAAAAACCAGAATTTCTATTAATTATAGTCTCATTACACTTAACCCAGCATGAGTGAGGTTGGGTATGTCATACCCAAGAAGATTTGAAACGCAGATTATTTAATGTTATTGTTGCCATGCAAATCCCATTGTCACAGTAGCTGGAGGTAAAGGAGTGGGGGGGCGAGGCGCAGTGTTGAGTTTAGTGTTCCACCGGTGTCAGCGGGAGCAAAAATACACATGAGCAAAGGTGGCTGGGGTACGTCACACCCGACCTCATAGTCGGTGTTACATTTTTGAGTTGACAGTAAGTTTATGAGTTATAGTTATTTATAGTATTTTTAGATTTATTTCTAGATTTCTCAAACAATAGTCTTCGCATTAGACAAAAAAACACATCTTCCAAGGGAAACTCGAAAAGTGATTACTGATCAACTGGGAGAACCTTCATTACCTGTTTCCAAAAAAATGGCTAATAAATATGTCAGGTGTGGTGAGTGTACTAAAAAACAGATAGGAAAACAAAACATTGCTGTTCAAAGTGTGAGAAGCCAAAATGTATGAAGCATGCGATTTTTATGTGTGGAGATTGTGCTGATTTGTAGGTGTAATGTTAATAACTGTGCAAATTGATCTCATAAGACCTTTTAGTTTTTTTTTCTATTTTTATAATTGAAAGATACTATAGTTACGTTGATTAACCAAAGTAGTTGTAATTTTGTTAGAATTTTATACGAAAAATGTTAAACTACCAAAACTTGTACTTTTTCAAAGAAAATATAGACACTGTTATTTCAATTAAAAAAAAAATGCTTTTCAATCTTAAACATAATATTTTATTTACTCATCTTGTTGAATAGATACTATTCTTATTATCCCAAGTGAAAAAATACTTTATACACAATTATAGTATAAAAAATTCGGCATCAAAGTTTCGGGTATCTCCTACCCACCTCATAGCTGGTGTAATAATTTCTCACCTCATTCATGCCAGGTTAATGTTATCAATCAGTTATTGTTATTGGTACAGGCAAGTCTTAAAGTGATTACAATAAGAAGACTCTGCTATATATCCATCTAATTGATCATAATAAATTATATGTAGATTCAACATTGAATGCAATTTATTTAATTATTAAGGAGTCAATAATAAATAATATTTGCAATTGACTAAGAACAAAAATTTAATATTATATAAATAAATTCAATCAATAAAAAACAAGTTTAATTTAATTTTGACTAGAATGCTAGAAAATGTAAACATGTAACCAACTTTCATAACAATTATTTGCTTAATTTATTGGAAAACATTTGTAAGTACTATTATATACTGTATGATATTTTCAAAATAGAAATAAAGAGAATCAGGGGTATGCAGAGTTATGGTGAAGAATAATAGATTCAATATAAAGCTGAAGTAAATTAGCTCCATCAAAAACTCATTATGTAAGATGCTGATGGAACATCAATTTGATATAAAACATAGTAAACACATCACTGCCTTGTCTGTACATGCCTTTGAGAACAATGTAAGAATGTCACCCTAATCACAAGATTTCAGTGTGTTGACTACTTCAAAACATTACAGAAATTGAAGATTTACAATGCTAAAATCAAGGGCAGTTGCATAAAATTACAAGAAGGAAAAAATCTTTCATACATCTGGTAACATTTCTTATACCCCAATCACACCAAGCATTTTGATCAAGATATTGACAAAGGTTGGCGACTATGCCGTGGTGCAACCTCTCTCAACCATTTCAATCTCGACTGAAATGAGGTTCAATCGCAATTGACTCAAGAGAGTTCTTGAAACTAATCCAGTCATAAGAGAGATCCCACAATCCCACCCATGCGAGATAATACAAGATGGCTGCGAAACACATGTCGGACTATCAACAGAGAAATAAAAAAGACATCTGGAGAGACGATGACATCTGTCTATTATTAGATATATGGCAAGAAAAAGTATTTATTTCTAACCAAAACTTCCATTTTGTTTGTTGGTGTTTGTGACTTATCGCGTAGTTATGTCAGTTTTATCACTGCGTGTAATAGCCAGGTTCTTCTCAAGCAGACTGCCTGTGCGAACAGCTCGACATTTGTCTGGTGACAGTTACAATCCAGATTGTAGGTAAATTGAGATTGAAGTGAGTCGTGGATTGTGTACGAACATAGTATTACAATATGCCTGCATCATCCAATATTTGTTAATGATGTTCTGGGCAGTTCATTTATTTTGATGGTGATTTTAGTTACTAATTTATTCAGTAATACATAAGTCATGTAGTGATTATTTTGTTGACAAAATCCTTTAAGTTTAAAAAACTGTTTCACTATTTTTTCAGGTATGTAACAATATGTGTTAGTTTTAAATTTCATAATGCATTCTTTGATGCATTCCATTTATAGAATGTAAATGACCCAATGAAGATCAGTATTGATCAAAAACATTAGTCAGAATGTTTTAAATATTAAACTAAATTTTTGTTCTGGATTTACTAAGGTTTAAGTTGTGTTTATTAAAATAGAAAAATGTAATCATAAATAATTTCAACAGTACAGAAGTATATTTAATTATCTTAATAAAAAACACTATTTACAAAAATATAGGATGGTTATTAAATCAGAAATAAGCAGTAATTATTATAGCCATTTAACACACACAAGTTTTTAAGAGCAGTAAATAAAATTTCCTATTTGTAATAATTTATGTTTAATTTAACATTTTAAATTTAGAAATTCTTACCTCTTCATAAAAATCTGGACAAGTGCTGTGATGTGTCACGGCAGTGAATGCACAACTTACTAATGGCAATTCTCCAGGACGACCGTATATACACTAAAGTCAATCATTTAAAATTGTTAGTAGATTTAGATAACTAAACATTCTATATGTAAATTTTAAATTATGAATGAAAGTACCTGAAGAGGATGAGCTCCACTTTCATCACTATCTCTTACTTCAACAGAACAAGCAATATTTCTAGCCTATTAACAAATTTTCAAGATAATGAGAAGTAAAATTTTATAAACTCATCAAGCAAAATAGCTCAATCTTAAATAACTTACTTTTGTGAATAATTTTTGGTTGTCATATTTTAAATTCTTTGGGAAAATGTACAAATGATTTATGTAAGAATTAAATAAAGCACTTTCTTTAGGCACGTCGGTAAGATACTCCTGCAATTCCAAAGTCAGTTCTGATTCTGGAGGTATCGGAAATGGCAAAACTGGTACCAATGAGGTAGTTAATGTATCTAAAAGTATAATTTTATATTAAATTATATATATAAACATACACATATAATGTGTGTAAGTGTGTGCATATGCACATATTATCTTTCAGAGTAAAATTACATACAACCATTTGTATATATTTCATGCAATATCATTTCATTTGTATATGATATTGCATCCCACTTATAATCCAAAAATTTTTACATAATAAATTATCAGTATACTATTAAAAAAGTAAATTAGACTTATTCAAAACTCTGCTGATTATTTATTGTATAAGAAATTAAAAAACAGTGAGCTATATTAAAAATTTTTAATAAAATGAATATTTTTTTAAAACTTGACACTTAAGATATATGAAATATTAATATATAGGTTAATATATTAATAAGTTTCAATATTAAAAGAGCATTGCATATTCATTTAGATTGTTTGGATAGTAAATGTTTCAAACTTTATAATTTAACTAATATTGTATGAACAAGAAAGAATAGCCATTATTCTCTTGTCCAATAAACATTTCTGGAAAAAAGTTTGAGACCACCTTGGTTTTCAAAGTTCCCATTAAAATTAATTGATCTCCTGTAAATATATTGTTTAGATATCAAATTTGGAAAATACGACTTGCAATATATTATAGGTTGACAACAATTAAAATAAATTAAGTTGTTAAAATATTAAAGTAATCATGTTTTTTTCATAAAGGATAATACGGTATAGCTTTGCAATTCACACATTGCCAAGAGTCAAGAATTAATTTTTGTTTATGATCATTTGTAACATATACAGAAGATGGTAAAAAATATATAATGTGAAAATTAATTCTTATTCCCACAGTATTGAGAATAAATTAAATTAACATTCTGTGAATATAAATAGTTATGATTCATTTTATACTGTCAAACTTCAGTTTTTGAATGACTCGCTTTTCGAACAAATTGGTTCACAAACAAAATTTCAAATTCATATTTGCCCTGGTTTCCAAACAAGCTACTCGGCAAGAGTCGACCACAGATTAGAGAGACACAAATGATCAACTCCCTTTACTTCCTATGTTAAAAAAAAGTTGATGGCCTGACCAATCAATGACAGGACTACAATTTAGAAGTCAGTGGCGCCAAGATTGCTTAGCGTCATGACACGTGATATTGCACATTTAAGTAGCAATGTCATGGCACAAATTGTTTATGATATTGTTATTTAAATTAGATTTCAATGTGCAAGTAGGAAAGATACTACAGTACACTTCCATTTTTTGACATGGCTGCAGTTGAATCTAAATACATTAATTAATAAAATATATGTTAATTGACATTCATCTAATATAAATGGCCATCCAAGAATTTGTGTTTAAAGATGCTTAAGTCAAATTAAATAACAAAAATTTATTAATATAATATTATATTTCATCTGTAAACCTTTTTAAGCTTGAAATATATTTAAAAAAGTGAAGAAAAAGCTTTGTTCTGGGGGTCCAAAATAGATTAATCCATTTTATATTGTTTCTTATGGAAAAATTTGTTTTGGTTTTAGAACAAATTGGTTTCAAACAACTTTTAGGAATGAATTATGTTTGAGAACAGAGGTTTGACTGTATTATTATTTTTCAAGCATTTACTGTAAACACAATATTTAGAAACTTATATAAAACATTTTTAATTTAAAGAAGACAAGTGTCAAATTTTCTTTTGTTAACAACCATAAAAATAATAAACTAATGTTTAGTTACATCTAATTACAATATTATATTTTTTCTGATTCTTTTATATCTTGACATAAGAAATGTAAGATCTAAAAGAATTGTAAATAAAATAGTAATAATAATAATACATATATTTTTGTTTAATGTTTGAAATTTATTCACAATACACTTTCCTACTAAGCATGCAAGTTTTTATAGAACAAATGTTGTTGGCCTGATTCAGGATTCTGCTTCAGAATATAATTGCTGTTTTCGAACATTCACCAAAGCTGTTTCTCTTTTGTAAATAGCAATTATAACCTGAAACAGATCCATGTATGAGGCCAAAAACGTTTGTGATTATAAGTACTGAATGCTGGAAGTCTATGAAAGGTGTACTGTAAATAAATAACCAGTTCCAGCTTCATAATCTTATATAAATTTTTGAAAGCACAAGAACAATTATCTTACTTGATATTAAATCAGTCTGAGCTCGCATTGAAATCCTAATAGTACCAGGGATAATTGTGAGATGTTTCAATTTATCTGGCCTATAAAATAAATTATTATTATTAAATAGATGTTAAATTCAGACTAACATCTCTTTTTATAGATTGAAATTTTTCTTTAGAGATTGGTTGCATTATTATGTTTATAGCATAGTATATTAAAAATTATATTGATACTTAAGAAAATTAACATAAAATATTAAATGATCAAGCATTAAATTAACATTAATACCATATATTCCAGTATATAAGACGACTTTTTTACCCAGGAAAATCTTCTCAAAAGTCAGGGGTCGTCTTATATGCCAGGTGCCACAGTCAGCCGGGACGCCCGGGGTATGGATAGAGATAGAGTGGTGCTGTGCACAGAAAAACACGCATCTTTCATTTATTTGGCCTGCCCTTGTATGTATCCTATTACTGTACTTCATTCTCTGCCTCTCAGATCTCGCTCCTGAGGACTGAAGTGGCGCAGGCGCCCATGTGCGAGATCTGAGAGGCCGAGAAGAAGGTACAGTAATAGGATACAAAGGTGGGCCAGTATGTTGCAACATCTCACTTCAAAAATGGGCTAGAATCAATCTTTTTCTTGAAATAAAAAAAAATTATTGGGAGAAAAGAATTGATAGCGAAAAAGATGCTCGCGATCGAAGATAGTGATTATCGCAAGTGTGTTTTTCTGTCGAATTTTTCCTACCTGAAAGGTTGCGTGGAGTCTGTGAGATGCCAGGACTTTTTCAACTTTTTTTTTCCGAGTAAACTCAGCACACAATAAAAACGTTATTTATTGCATTTTTTGCAGCTCGAAGATATTGGAGAACTTATATTTTTTGAAAAATTTTGGAAAAAATGCAACAAAAAATTCTTCTAGAGGGCATCTCACAGAATCCACGTGATTGTAGAAGGGGAAATAGGATACAAGGGGGAGCCAGTATAAAAATGTCCAACAGTCATATCCCAAACTCTATATTTTAACTGTAAAAGTCAGGGGTTGTCTTATATGCCGGAATATACAGTACATACAAAGTTATTATTATAAAGATAATTTTGTACACATTATTTCTTCAAAATGAGTTTTTTCGTAAATATCACAACATACTTATTGGTAATAAAATAAGAAAATATGATTAATTCTTAATATGTGAACTGGTTTTAAAGTGATATTCAAATAAAAAATATTGCTCTTTTTTGTTTTTAGATTTACATTGGTTTAATTGAAAGTATACAGTGCTTTTATTTAATGAACTAAGTCAAAAGTGTTACTAGCAAAAGTTACTTTTAAGTTATTTACAGTAATAAGCCAACAACTACCAGATTATATCAAGTTACTATATCACAATTATTTTAAATTAATTACTAAATAATTTTTCTTTAGAAGGAGGCATAAGGTGCCATCTCTTATTAGTATTAATAATTATAGTTAAATCAAATAATTTAGAAAATTCTGGAAGAAAAGAATCCACACAGTAAGCAGCAGTTGAGGGTTCAAGTCCCACTCTGGACCGATTCTTTTCTTCCACAATTTTCTAAATTATTTAATTTAAGTATAATTATTAATACTAATAAGAGATGGCACCTAACGCCTCCCTCTAATGACAAACTATTTAGTAATTAATTTAAAATAATTGCGATATAATAACCAATATAATCTGGTAGTAGTTGGCTTATTATGTATGTACGGTACATCAGGTCTGTAGATGTTGGTTTATGTTATTTACAGTATTAGAGTTATTTTTTATTGTTTTTTTATTTCATTTAATTATTTCATGCATTTTCATTAAAAAAAAAAGAATCTGGAAATATTGATTATTCCCAGCATTTTAGTACTGAAGAAATGGAATCACATTACAGTAAAGTCCTACAAACTCAACTTAATGAGGAACAAGAAAGTGATGAGTTACTGAAAATGACGAGTTTTACTGACTACTATGTAAACAGTAAAGTGAGAGAAATGAGATTATGTTAAAATGTTAAAAGTCAAATTTGATCATCTTTTCATTGGCAAGAGCATGTTGCCAACCATAGCAGAATTCCGGTAAATTCGCAAATTTGTTTAATGAATAGTGGCATAAAATACACAGGTAAAACCAGTATGATAAATAAATAAAAAAATATGAAAAAATTACATGTTCTTCCATCTAGTTTACAAAAATTTGTTATAAAGAAACTGAACTTCATTAAATAGGACATTTTTAAATTTCAAAAATGCTTAAAATTATACAAATCTGTAATTATTGCAAATTTCAACACTTACTTTCTGAAATCTGAGAGGATTTTCAAAATATCTTCTTCACTCAGTTTAGAACTATCGTGACGAAAAATTGGACCTAATTCTGTTGATACATCAAGTTCCATTGTAAACGGTTTAAATATTGGTCTACATAAAAAAATAATAAATATTTATTTTATATCAATACAAACACAAGCATATATTAGTTTAATCATGAGATAAACAAACTTCATTTATAAAATAATTTATTTTTAAAGATATTTTAATAAGAATTATCAATAATTATAAAAATTTTGTTAGTATTAAACATGATTCTAAATTCTTGATGCAAGACATTTTAATTTTTAGAAAATATAAGATTTTGTTTTTATTATTTCCAATTCTAATCTATTCTCAGCTCATTAAAATTCCTTTTAGATTTTTTCCTATAATTTCTATTCATTTGATTTTAAAGCTTCGAATTAATTTATTTAACATTTTATTTATTATATTATTAACCAATAACAAACAGTTTCAAATGTTTGTCAATACCTAAGCTGCCAAATAAATATACAAACATTCAATCCATTAATCCGGTTTTAATTCAGCAGACTGAACTACTGAATTATAGAACTATGTTAATTAATTAATTAATTATTAAAATTAGCCTTAATATAGCCTGATAATCCGGTAGTTTGTTTTGGCTGCCAAATAAATTTCTTGTTTTATGTATATACTGATTTTATATCACATCACTTTCAAAAAACTAAAACGTTGACTCCTAAAAGTGAATAAAATAATTTAATTAAATTGCCTCAATGTCCTTTTTTCCTTATTAATATGTAAATTTTTCGACTATAAATTCGACTTTCATCTATTATCAGGACTTATTATACTGGTTTTACAGATAATATTACAAAGATTAACAGAAAACAATTTTTATTTTATTTCGTATACCTGTCCATTTAGATGCCTATAAGTGATAATTCTGAAAAATATCTAATTCTCCTAATATAAAAGACAGGTACCTGTCTGTTATATTATACCATTCTGAAAAATATCTAATTCTCCTAATATAACAGACAGGTACCTCTCTGTTATATTAGGAAAATTAGATATTTTTCAGAATTATCACTTATAGGCATCTAAATGGACAGGTATACGAAATAAAATAAAAATTGTTTTCTGTTAATCTTTGTAATATTATCTGTAAAACCAGTATAATAAGTCCTGATAATAGATGTCCTGATAATAGAATTTATAGTCGAAAAATTTACATATTAATAGTGAATAAAATAAATCAAATAGATATCATTCTCTTTTAGATTAAGTGAATTAAATGTACATTTATAAACAAATAATTTTGAAATACTTTTAAAAGTACACACTTTGAAAAAATAATTACATATTAAAAAGAGCAGCTCATTGACACAGCTAACAAAGCATCCTCTATGTGGTTTACGGAATTAAGTTTATTCTCAAAATTTGATTGGTTGGTTTTGATTAAGCTTTGTCATTTTACATAATATGAGATGAGAAAATTAAAAATGTCATAAAAATCAGGGATTTGTTTCATTTTCGAGATACATTGGGGTCGATGTGACAATGTCAAGGTTGCTAGCGTAAGCAGGTGCAATTTTTTTCATATTCAAGTCAATAATATTGTTTTGGAGTCTTCCGAAACATTATTATTGACTTGCTAGAGCTTTGACTCAATTCTTACTTTGTATTTGGACAGAAAACAAACTGCACCTAGTTAATTTTATAATACAAAGAATACTAATCATCTTTTTGTTAAAATCCATACTATATAAATATTATATGAAGCAATCACTTTTTCTAAGCTGTATCATATTCTAAATGGTTGTATTCTGGGATGACTTTGAAATAGAGACAAGAATGTTACTCAATAAATTGTATTTGATTTACAGGATTAAGCAGGTTTTTAATTAACCATTTTAAACTAATTTTTAAAATTTAATTATTTTATTTGCAAATGTTAACATTAAGCTTTAATTTTCTCACCGAAATGTTTAGAAATAAGTTAATATCTATTATTTTTAAATTAAATTATAGTAACATTAACTTTGTTTTTAAATTTATTTTATTTACATTTTAACATAAGCTCATATCTTAAAGTTAATCAGTATATGAGACCAGTAGATATGTATTTATGACTGAAATATTACAGTCTTATATAGGATTGTAATTCTAACTGGTTATTATTACAACAGGTTTTCACAGTTCACCTGATACAAGGACTAGATATCATCATGATGTTTTTGAATTAGCATTTTGTCCATTTCATGCATACAATTTTTCTTCTAAATCAATTAAATAATCTAATCTGTATAATTAAACTATAAAAATGATAATTAAAAACAGAAATTATAAATCTAATAACCAATAGAAATTATTTTATAATAAAAGTATGCTTATTACAAGTAATAATAATCATATTAACGTTATTTTGTTTATTTGGGCCCGTTTTTTGCAAAAAATAAGCACACTCATATAATATTTAAACTAATTTTAACATAGTAATTAACATAGAATGCAATAAAGAAATTAATTTATATACCTTGCAGCCCATGCAAAAGGCATTCGGTAACGGCTTAAATGCTGACAACAAACTTTCATTAACTTTTGTACTTTGATTCCTGAACGTCCGTCATTATGACGAATGTATGGTTCGGCAGCATGGCAAATTCCACCTTGTAAAACCTTTTCAATTCTGATTACTAAATAAAGATCTGGATGTGGATTTCGAATAGCAAAAAGAGCCTATGACAATATTTAATAATCATAATAATTAGTAAAAAATAAATAAAAATTAAATATTATACTAGTAATAAAATGAATTTATGATGAGAGTAATAATGATTTTGTGTGATTGAGTGACATTAATATCAATTGAATATAAAAGTTGTGATCATTTTTTACGTGAATTAAATATAAGTATTTCATTTTTTAAAAACTTCTTATTCTAGAATAATTCACATGATTTGTTGTGTGAAGACATGCTTGCATTATCTATGATGCTAAACTATAGAGTATGATACTCACACACTTGCCAAGAAGTTAAATACTAGGTTAATTATAATGTGGTTATTTTTTAAAATTTATATTAAGTCGACTTTCCAAAATTTAATAAAAATTAAAATATATAAATTTACTCAAAGCATGATTCAAATCAAATTTTTTGCATTTCATTGATATTGTTTGAATAGTTCTTTTAGACAAACCGGACACCCTGATGTCATTTCTGCAATATTTAGTATATAGTAACAATTTATTTTTACCCTCTTATAAACTTTTGGCTATATTTACAGAAATCTCCTCAAAACAGAAATGGAAACTGGAAAAAAATATGTGAATAAGTAAAATTAAGAATTTTTACAAACTTTCGGCAAAAGTATAGTTAAAATTAAGTACTCTTAAAGACCCGTGTTTTTGTTTCCTAAGAAGTTTTAAGAAGAAACTGTGACATAGAAACTATTAAATACTGATATCATAAACTATAGCAGTGGTTCTTGACTAGCATTCTGCAAACTTGCCTTGAGAATTTTATGAAAAAACAAAAAAGACTAACGTTTTTATTACAAATTTATTCCAATGTACTACAAAGCATTATTTTATTCATAGACAATTTCATGTTTCTATTTTATTCAATACAACGAAGTTTATTAGTTATTGCTTCATTGTTTCATGAGAATAGTAAACATGGAACTGCTTATCAATTTCTGAATATATTGATGCTAATGCTCCACATAATAAAACATATATGAAAGGTGTTGTGCAGTCTCAGAAAGATTGAGAACAACCAAACTAAAGAGTAAGATAAAATACTTATGAAAACAAATACATTCAGAAAATATAACAACAGTACATTATATTACATCTAATAATATATACTGAATACCTATATATAGTCAAACTTGGTTATAACAAACATGGATTTAATGAGCAAAACACCATAACAATTTTAATTTATGCATATTTCCTTACATTTTCTCACAGTTATAATGAGACATACCAAGCAAATTTTTGGTAGCTATGCAAACGCACAAACATTCTTAATTGTTCAAGTAGTAAGAAATGAGATACTGGATAATTGGAAGAGATAAAACTGAAAGGGTTACTTAGTTTTACGACTGCTAGATAATTAGTTTTAAGACCTGCATCGATTACAGGCCTATTTATCATTTAACTTTCTTTTTTGGAAACTGTCCCCCTCTTTCTTACTAATTTCCAGTCCTGCACTGCTAATTTACCTAATCATCACTACAATTGTGAAATTATCACATACTCCAGTTAGAAACAAACCCTTCTATAAGAACATATCTATGGAGAAAAGAAAATGTCTCCTGGTTTACAAAAAAGTAGAAATTATTCAAGAGTTAGAATATGGTGCTAAAAATGTCGAAGTGTGTAGAAAGTTTTCTTTGTCATGTTTGTCAGTATTACCATTACGGAAAAATAAAGCAATTGTCAATTTGTAGATAACAAGATTAACTGAAATCACACATTCTATTAATTAGTATTATCTTTAATTATAAAAAAATTAATTATTTAATATTAATTAAATATCAGGAAAATCTAATATCTGTATCAAGATCTGTATTTATCAGAAAAAAAAAATATATATATATACCAGTACTTCTAAACTATACCCTATTCAACATTGTGATATTTGCCATCATTTAACTAATACTAACCTACTTGAAGCCCTTTTCACTATCTTAGAAAATAGAAAAGCTACCTATGTCATTTATCTTGACATTTCACACGAATTCGATTCTGTAATACAATATGTTCTGCGTGAATACTTTGATATTAACCCTGTTTTTTTAGCTTGGATAAGTCAACTATTCTCTATCAAGACTATGCAAGACAAACTTAAACAATTTTGAATATCCAGATTTTCCCCCTATTAATGGTATTCCACAAGGATCAATTTTGAGTGGACTATTTTTCTCTGCATACATTAACAATCTCTTCAATAATATTAATTTTAAAGTTATAGCTTATGCCGATGATATAAAATTTAAATCACGATCCTAATGTTTTACAAACTGACCTTAAAATTCTATCTTTAGCTTTTAGTAAAGTAAATTTAAGAATTAATATTTGTAAAACAGTTGTGATGTGTTTCTCTCTGATTAGAGATCTGCCGCTTCCGCATCTTTACATTTATAATCATGTTTTAAATTATGTAAATTCGTACAGTGATTTGGGAGTTGTCTTTGACAATAAATTGACCTTTAAAGGTCACATAGAAGAAAATTGCAAAATCTATCGCAATTCGCTGGGGAATTTTATGGCGGTTTTGTAAACCTATATCCTCAAAAACTGTACTAAGGTCTATTTTCTTTACAAACTTCCAGTCTTTAATAGATTACTGCTTATCAATCTTGGCAATTGTCAGCCCCTTTATTAAACAAAGTTATTAAAGAAATACACAGAATATATTTTCTATTAAACAAATTTTGTCATCTTCCATTCACTAATAATGCCAATGTCGCAGGAGTCAGACCGGGACTACCTAATTTCAAAGAAAGAGTAAAGTATTTGGACAAAATTTTAATGTATAAATACTTTAATGGAGTAATATATAATTATTGGCTCAGGTTGAAAATTCTCTTCAGAATAACTAGATCACAATCATGTCTACATATCCCTTTTTATCAATTAGCATTAAACCATAGATCCTTTTTTATCGCTCTATTGATTATATTTTGCCCATCAAACATCACCTTCATCAAGATTTTACAAAATATAAACATTTATGCCAATGTTTTATACATAATGTATGATCTTTATTTATTATTATTATTTTTATTTTTTATCATTTTGTATATTTCTTTTTAAGAATTTTTTACTTTGTTAATTTTATTTGTTATTTTTAATTGTATTTTATTGTATTTTTTGGGTAAATTGTGTTATTTGGGGGTGAAAATCTTTTGCCCATTGACAGTTCTGATTAAATGCAAAATAAAAAAAATAAAAAAATAATTATATTGTAATTTATATAACTATTAATAAAAATACAATATAATGTAATTACATACATACATTACTTTTTCAAATCAAGTTATTTAAAATTAAAAATTGAAAGATAACTACAGATTTTACTAATTATCAGTAACATAACTACAAATTTTGCCACCAGCAGAATGCCCCGTACATGTTTGTGCCGGAGATAGCCACCCATTCTCCCCCTAGTTACATCACTGCTCTTTATGGATATAATGAGTAAATCTTGCCAGCCCCCTAATGCTTGTTAAAACTGACTTCGACTGTATGTATATATAGCATATTGCAGTGTAATAAACACAAAGTAGCTACCCAGTAGCTATATACCAAAAATGAACAGGTATGAACAGATTTAGTTATTTGCATGACAATGCATGCCATAACACAAATAAAAGTAAAATACAAATGTTCAGGAATTTAGTAAGTTATTACATGCAAAATCTGAAAACAGTAGAGTACATTTCTTTCTACAAAAAAAAGAAATGATCAGAAACTTTTCATATAGATTTGTGTGTCTTTTCATATAACTTAAAACATATCCTATTTTTATTGACATTTGAAAATTAAATAAAATTTTAAAACTTTAAAAGAATTATAGCTTATAAATATTATGCTCCATAAAAATAAATAATCAATCAAATTCAGATAGCTATAAGTATTTTTAATTTTTTAAAATGTATTTTAATAATAGCAGTTTAATTGAATTCAAAAGTATGATATGGAAACATTATTGAAAAAATTTTTGACAGTTAAAGACAAGTGAAATCTACAGAATAGTGATATTTTTCTTAAAAATTTATAAATTATAAAAATAATCCATATCTTCTAACTGTTAAATATAAAACGAATATTTTTTAAAATTTGAAAATATTATACTTATTGTGTGAAATAATGTTATTTATTATGTTTAACAGAACATAAATTTATATATAATTACCTGTTTTGGATAAGAAAACCAATGTTTTCCAACTGAATCTAACAAAGAAAATAATGGATCTTTCTCGCAGTCTCCTTTGTTTCCAATCTGATTCAAATTTTCTCCATTTTTAATTTTATTGGGTAACATTTGACGAATATGAGGATCATTGATATCAAATTTGAAATCCTCAGTCACCTTCCTGCCTTCTTTAGCATCATAAATTGTCATTGTTGTAAAGAATGGTTCAATCTGTAATATTTATAGAACAGGAAAAATTTTTTAGTTATAAAGATATTTTACAAACTTTAAAATGTTCTAATTTCAGAAGAAACAAGTACACAAAATTAATCAATCAAAATAGTTTTATGATATTTAAATTATTTTCATTAAATGAATACAACTGTATCAGATCTAACTATTAAAAAAATACTTGACAAAAAGTTTAATACACAGCAAACAATTTACCTTTTAAGATAAATCACGTCAATAAACAAATGTGTTCAGATAACTTATAACCTTCCTTATATAAGATTAATTCATACTTTATAAAAATGAAAAAGAAAACATAAAATATCTGTTCTTTCCCTGTTATTCTCCTCTCACAAGCATATATACTTTAAAACAACAAAACAGAAAAGTGCGTGTGCTTATCATATTCTTGGTTTAAAATATTGTGATTTTTAGCTATATTCAAAAGTATATATTGAATGCATATTTTAATTGTAAAATGTTAAAAAATTAATATACAGGTATATTTTGTACTTGATTTCACTCTAACATAGTTCAAGAATTTGAGAAATCACTGTACAAACCATCACAATTGTAAAATGTCACAATGCAAACATTGTCACTTGATATTTTTTTATTCAAGCAAGCAGGAAAAAAAATCATTTGGTTATAAGCAGCTTCATAAACTAAAATTTAATTTGATTATTTTCCAAACTCAATCCCTTCAAGGCTTTAAACAGCTTTATAAACTAATATTCACTTTAATTTCATATGCAGATTATGATTTAGTTGTTTTTATTATTTTTTAATATTTGTATAAAATTAAATTTTGTTACCTGAGAAATTGGTTCTTTATCATTTTCTGTGGGTGCTTGTAATTTAAACTTCAGTTCTTCAAATTTTATAAAAATCCTCATCTTAAATTCTTCTTTTGGTGGTTCAATAGGTTTCTCATATTCAAAACTCAAAGGTTGTAATGTTACCTTTTATAAATGAAAAATGTCATAAATATTATTCATAAAATTTTAATTTCTGCAATTGAATATAAATAATAAACATGACTAACTGATTAAATGTTAACGCAAGACACCAACCCATTATGAGCTACTTGACTAGACTTAATTTTTCCCATTACAGTTTGACCAAAAGTACAATGAAGTGAGTCAGCATAGATGAATGGCATGCAATCATAGTGTAAGCCAAACTATCTACAGTTAACTTATGATGTTCTGGATCACAGTTAATTCCAGAACATTGTAGTGGTCACAGCATGTAGCAAACCAAAATGAACATGAATATATAATAATTTCACAATGTTTTTAGGAGTATAGAAAAGTTTAATATTACTAAAATTGCCTTAGTACTTTCTAACTAGTTAGTTCATCTTTAGAGGCAGCAAAGTTTAAAAATTCAAATGCTAACACAGCGTTTTGTTAGAATGTTTCAGATGTGATCTATAGCAATACAGTGGTACCTCAAACTTAAATGATTCTAACTTCAAACACTTTAGAACTTGAATGCTAAATTCAAGAGAAATTCAAACTCTGTTGCTATGATTTAAGTGCATGTGTACTGAAAAATGCTCTCTCTGCATAAATGTTATCTGTTATGTGCTCAAATCATCTCTTGCTCTCACTGTGAATGCATTTTTGCATTATGCTCATGCGTTTACAGTGCTTTCATTGCTTTACTTTGGTGTGTTTGGATATATATATATAACCTATACCTATTAACCATGGCATCCAAAAAAAAGTGTGAAAGCAAAGAAGTATAAGCGAAGGGTTGTAATATCAACAACTGAGGTGAAAAAGGAATTTATCACAAAGCATGAAACTGGTACATGTGTGGCAGATCCGATGGCTATGTTTAAGATTCCAGTCAACAGTATGTGACCAATAAATGCAAGTTTTACATATTTTATTTATTGTTTACATGTTTTAATTTATTGTTTAGGGTATTTAATTGTGTTATTTTTACTTTAAATTATGCTTATAATTTTTTTAACCTCAGACTGTCACCTCTCCAAGTTACACCACTTGAAAAGGCAGACATGATAAATGAATGCAACCAAAGAACGAAATGCATATATGAAAAAATAATAATAATAATTTGGACTCCAAAACTGACAATAGTCATGGTAAAGTGTTTACAGAAATATCACAAAATATACTATTAATTATTATAATTATTATTTAAAACATATTAATTTAATCTCATTATAATAAGTTGTAATATTTTTTATTTTAAAAATGTATATGTACGGAGAGTTATTTGTATTAACTGTGCAAAATAGTTTTTATATACAAATCAATTAAATCCATTCTAAAATAATACAGCTCATGAATAAAAAATAGTTTATACCTGCATATCTGGATATATTGCAAATATATTTTGTCGATTTTCTTTCCTTGCTTCAGTTATAGAATAATCTGTTTCGTGCGCATACTGAAAAACATAATTAAATTTTTTATTATAAGATAAATTGAAAAATCAACAAAATATTATGATGCATCAAAACATTAAATAAATAATTAACACTACAGTGTTGTAGCATTACAATCATGATTTATAATTAACATGTACTCACTAGTACTTTTGATAGCCTATAGCTATCGATAAGGATAGATGATAGAGATGCACTCACATTAAATGAAAACTCAGGGTGTACAAAATTCTGTTACAAAACATACTATCAGGGGTGGAAATTATTTACATTGGAGGATACTATGAGAATGTTAAAGTCCCATATCCTGGAACATCAAGATGATATTAAAAACAACAGATCAGCAACTGAATTATCTAAAAATCTACTAGACCATGGTTATCTACTGCTTCAGGCACACACTAAATTACTTAAGCAATGCAATGATCAAAGACAGTTATTTATATGGGAGATCCTCTAAATCTGCAGTAACACCATGCAATACGCTGATCATAGAAATCCTGCAACTGTGGATAACCTTATTCAAACGATTTAATTTGTAATTTTGTATTTACATGTGTACCACAATTATATACAGCTTACTAAATTGCTTTTTAAGGATTTTTGGGGATGTGATGTCAGTTGCTACGCACTTCTATAATTTTTTGAAGATATTTCAATTTGTTCTGTATTTCATCCATGCGCCTTGGAAAATTTTAAAAAGTCTGTTTGAAAGTGAATGTTCAAAAATTAATTGTATTCGATTTCTTTTTTGCCTGAGGATGGTGGCTGTAGGCCAGTGGTTCTCAACCTTTTTTGTCGATGTACCCCAATAGCCCATTAGTTGTTTCTCGAGTACCCCTTATATTTTTGTATGTAAATTTTATAATTATTGCTTTAGAGGTATACAGCCCTTATAACTGAGTGCCATAAAAAAACTCTTAACTATAACTAAAAGTGAATCACTTATTTTACGTAAATAATAATAAATTTAATCGGGTACATACATTTATTTATTATTATTTGATAAGTATATTATATAAAATCACAGAAGTCATTTCGATACACGCATAAATTACATTTCCTAAAAATAAATAATTATAATTAACAATAAAGAAAATTTAAATTATTCTACAATAATTTCTAACAAAATTTAATGGGATATTTGTTGCGATAAATCTTCAGCAATTTTTTCAAAATTTG